AGTTTTAGTTCCTAACTGAAGAGTCTTGCCTTTCTCTCTCTTGCTTTCTTATGCCATTGGCATCAAGATTTTATTTGTTTCATTGGCTTTTCTGTTCTGTTTCAGTTTTCAAAATGTCTCATGAGGTCAGTGTGGGGCAGATTTGTCTTTATATTTATACAGAGTGAAGACGTCTCGCTGGTCTCTCTCCTTTATGCAAGGCGTTTCCACTTTGCTGGGTCGCATCTTGTCAAAACAGTCACCTACTGTTTTCAGTTTTTGCTTTGCTTACGCTGTAAAAACCTGCTCAATACTTTATGATGGGCAGAATCAAAGACAAAAATAGATCATTATTAAATGCATTTACTTACATGTTTAACTAAAATAATGTGTGCACATGGTGGATTCAAGCAGCACAGAAAGGTTATCAAATGAATAATGTCTCCTTCCCAGTCCTGCCTTCTGTTCCACTCCTTAAAAGTAGCCCACTCTTTTATTTCTATTTTTTTTATTGAGGTATAATTGGTGTACAATATTATATGTTTCAGGCATACAACATAGTGATTCACAATTTTTAAAGGTTATATTCTATTTATACTTATTATAAAATATCAGTTATATTCCCTGTGCTGTACAATATATCTTTGTAGCTTATTTATTTTATACATGGTAGTTTGAACCTCTTCACCCCCTACCCGTGTCTTGTCCCTGCCTCCTTACCTTTCCCCACTGGTAACCACTATTTTGTTCTTTATATTTGTGAGTCAGTTTCTTTTTGTTATATTCACTAGTTTATTTTATTTTTTAGATTCTATGTATAAGTGATATCATAGAGTATTTGTCTTTCTTTGACTTATTTCACTAAGCATTTTATCCTCCATGTCCATGTTGTTGCAAATGGCAGAATTTCATTCTTTTTTATGGCTGAGTAGCATTCCATTCTGCATGTGTGTATGTGTGTGTGTGTGTGTGTGTGTGTTCCCATCTTCTTTATCTATTCATCTGCTGATGGACACTTGGGTTGCTCCTATGTCTTGGGTATTATAAATAATGCTGCTCTGAACACTGGGTTGCATGTATTTTTTCAAATTAGTGTTTTCATTTTCTTCAGATCTATACCCAGAAGTGGAATTTCTGGATCATACAGTAGCTCTATATAGCTTTTAATTTTTTAAGGAATCTCCATACCAGTTGCACCAATTTACATTCCTACCAATAGTGTAAAAGGGTTCCCTTTTCTCCACATCCTCACCAATGAAGTAGCCCACTCTTAAGTTTCTTGCGTGTGATTCCAGAAAAATTGTGTGTAGGGGGAAATACAGTTCCAGCATATATGAGCATACCTGTATAATTTCTTTAAAAATCAAAATCAAAATTTACTGTGCTTATGGTTCTGCACATTCCAAAAAAACCAAATTATATTATGCATAGTATTCTGTGCTTTCCTATAAAAACTGTATTTTTACTAGTAATTGAGCCACGACTCAAAGCTAGATCTCACAAACAGGATTCGTGACAACATCTTGCAGAGGCTTTTTTAAAACCCTAAGCCAAGATGCAGGGGGGACTATCTTCTGGCTAAAACCACCAAATGTAAGTAGTGAAACAAAGTGACATAACAAAAGAGAGGAATATAAACTCCCAAGCCAGTGACCAGATCTAAAAAGGGAAACATTCCAACCCAGACCCAATGAAAAAGTCCAAAGGAGAGTAAGGGACCACGCCCAGAGGGGACCGAGACACCGGCACCAGCTAGGATTTACAGACAAGTGCAAGCTGGTGCTATTTTTAAAGGAGACCAAAGAAGCAATGGCCACAAATAAAATTGGAACACGCTGAACTGCTGGGAAAGTGCTAAATTTGAAAAGAGAGAATCGTGTTTATGTTTAAGAAAATGCTCTAGAGACACTTTAAATTAGGAATTGATTTTAATCTGAAGTAGAACAGACAATGGAATAAACAGTGACTCCAGTGTAAATAAACACTAGTCTATTTAATGCAATGATTTAATTATCAGCTGCTGATTAATCTATGATTTAATCTAATAATCTGACACAGTGAGCTGTGCCATAAAAATATGTTAAAAGTTTTATATAAACTGATTGGAGCTCTGGGATCATTGTATCATTTGTGCTTTGATCCCATGTGATGCTTTTGGTCCCAGAAGAAGTCAGGTTCTTTTGTGTCCTGTGTGTGTGTGTGTGTGTGTGTGTGTGTGTATAAGGGA